ATGGAAAACAACAATAAAGCTAAAAAAAAGAGAAGGATTGTACAAAATTTGCCAATATCCTATCTTTTTTAAATAGTAAAATGGAAATAAACTAGAAAACGGATTTATTTATTTGTAAATAGAAAAATAAAATAAAATTGTTGGAAACTTGTGCACACACTTTCTACACACTTTCCTTTCTTTCACTATACGGTCAGTTTTAAACCCACTGGAGTGACAGGGTGAAATCGATTTCTATTTTATGCCAGATTTGGTCATTTGCAGTAATATGAATCTATTTTCGGGGTGTATGATGAAATTTGTTTGGCTTTGAAAAATAGTACGTCACCCGTGATTGCATAATTCACTATTGTCTCGACTGTCGATTATTTGTCCTACGGCCATTGTCTACGATGGATATTACTCCAAGGAAGCTTACGAAAATTGTAAAACTGCACAAACACACTGGCAAGCCTTACCAGTGAGTAAATGAAAGTACTATAGACTGGCCCGAAAAAAAAAATGATTTAAATCTAGTCGAAAACTTGTGGTCAATCTGCAAGAAACGATTTCGTGGAATGGACATACGAAGTACTAACATGTGCATTGGGTCATGTTAAATTGGAAAAATACGAAAAAAATAAAACAAACAAACAGCATTATTCGTTTTGTTTCAATTAATTTGCACAATGGTGTATGTGTCGTGCCCATTCAGGACGTTGGCGATCATCGTTCTCCCCAATTTCTTTTGCAGCTCTTAATAATTTTTGTCTTTTTGCTATCTCTCCCAAATCCATTCATTCCAGCTCGCCACGTAGGTTGTGGGTTACTGTTTTCTGTCTCTCTTGCTCTCTGTCCTATGCGTATCAAAATGTCCAAGCTCTTTTTCTTCATTATGAGCCCAAGAAATTTCAAATATATCTTCATGATGTTACGTATAAGTGTCCTTCTTGTTGCCATTGTCTCTAGAAATATTGTCTCAAATGTTCGGTTCATGGTATTCTCAGTATCATTTTTGTAGAACCACATTTCTGTTGCCTCCAGTCCTTTCTTCATCTGTGGGAAGATTGTCCAGCATTCACTGCCATAGAGGAGAACCGATATTAGATAACAGTTCATTATTATTTTCTCTATTGGGAAGAAAGAAAGAATGACAATATTGACTTTGCTCAGCTTTTGAAAGGCATCTTTCGTTATCCCACTGCACCTTCGGATTTCTGTATCACACTTTCCGTCCTCTGTTAATACGCTTCACAGATATCTCAAGTGTTGCACTTGTTTGATTTCGGTATCTCCAATTTGCAATTTGCATGCTTGACTGTTCCTTTTACTAACAACCAAGCATCCAGTCTTATGATTATGAAGTGAAAGTAGATAGAATGAAATGTCAAGAAGCTTTCAAATGTGTTAACGCAGTCGGATAGAAAACAATAAGATGTTAATTTGATAAATTATGAAACCTGATAAAACTAAAATGTTAACTGCATTTTGTTTTAACAGAAAGTCTTCTTAAATTATTGCTCTAGATTCAGCACGGATGTAAGCATGTGTGTCCATCGCTCATTTTGCGAACAATTCGATCTATAATATATTCTTTTTTAAAAACAAGTACATTAATAAAGTGTATTGATCTAAGTAAATGTGCAGCTTCAATCTGGTGCTGAATGTATTCTGGAAAAAGATATTCGATAATACGGTCACACACACAGACAGCAAATAGAGAAAAGTGCAGGTTTCTGGGCTAAATGTCATTTTAGTTCAATCAGTAGGAGAGGAAGAATATTGACTAGAAGAATTGAATATTAACTGAAAGACAGAAGGAAATAAAAATTACATATTTGTTTAATGGAGATATGTAATCTATTTAATGAATAGAATGGATCGAATTTAACAACTTTTCCCTTGTAAGAATTATCTTCTTTCTTTTTACAGATTCGACATGTGAACTTCGACAGCCTAATTTTTCTTTTAAAAAATCGAATATTTTTATAGACATTTAAATAGACTCATTTTTGTTTGCCATAAAAAAAATTTTTCTTGTGTTTTTCTGTCATTTTCTCTTAACATTTCTTTGATTTGAAAGAATGATTTTCATTTAATGCAATAAGTAGCTTACATTTCCGGTGAAAATATTTTCTTGAGACATATTCTTTGTTTTTCGCTTTGAATCTAAGAGAAAAGGGAAAATTTATGAGATGATTACTTACACTATTTATATTAGGAATATTGTCCTTATCTTTGTTGTTTTTTCACAAAGTTTCGACCGTTGTACCATCAAACCTTCCTCAGGTGTGTATTTATCTTGGTAACCTACAGGGAACCTTGAACTGAACCCTTTATTTAATCTACCGGGGTAGACTGTTCTAATTCTAAAGGATATCAAATCTATTTTTAGTAATGCTCAGTTATTGTGAGCTCATTTCCACTGAGTCTAAGTACACACTGCCCGGCCCAGGGATTGAACTCACAAATGAGAACAGTCTGCCACGGTACATTAGATAAAGGGTTTAGTTCAGAATTCAATTTATATCTGAGAGAGGTCGGGGGGCACATAAAAATAAAGACAATAGTCCTTAAAATAAATAGTGTAAATAAAGATAAATCTACATTTCAGAAATTGAGACTGAAATTACAAAATGATACTGTGAAATTTTCGACCGGACAAAGAAACCATTGAAAACATAAAATATATCTGTTGCATGGTTATTTGGTCATATTTTAGAAATTGGATTTCAGTATCGTTGGATTAATTTATTGAGATGCTCAAATACTTTTTATGCTCATTCAAATGCAAATTAAAAATAGATTCCAATGCCAATATATATATATATATATATATATATATATATATATATATATATATATATACCTACATAAAATATTTGTGTCATAAAAATTTTGCATAAAATTTTATTGTTTGATTGGATAATTTCTTTTATTTAGCTGATATTCCTATTCTTGTGCTATTCTTTCTCTACTGCTAACAACGCCAATCATTTCAGCGCATGCGCATTACATCTATCCGCAGAAAATTTTAGAAAATAATTCCCCTTTGTTTTAGTTCCCATTGATTTTTATTGTGTTTATTTTATATTAATATTCGATTAAGATTACTGTTTTTAATTTTTAGTTTTCATTTTTGCATTTTCTTTTCCGATTTTCCAAGATTTATTCATTAGCACTTAATTTATACACGTTCCTTACATCATTTCCATTTATTTATTTGTTTGTTTATTGTTTTTTCAACTTAGTTTTCATTTTTAATTCTTTTTTTTTTCTTTCTTTCATTTCTTCTTTCATTTCTTCTTTCATTTCTTCTTTCATTTCTTATTTCTAAGATTCAGTTATCTGCTTATTTCTATTATCCTCGTTCCCTTCATTTCGGCGCCATTTTTTCTGTTACATTTCTCTGGATTTGAATCGTTTTCTTTTTTCTTTGAGTTACTTTTTATTTCTTTCATTTATCATTGACGTAATAAAATCATTTAAACAATGTTCTGTTCTATTTTCGCTATTTTCTTTCTTTTATTTTCTGATTTTTATATTCTTTTTTCATCTATAACCTTTGTTTTACGTATAATTAAGTTTTTTTTTTAATAATTATGAATATTTTTTTTAGTTTTTGTTTGTGAATTATTTACGAATGTATTTCTTTTTTTTCTTTGTTATGATATTGTTTATTTGGTTTTTCTTTAAATGTTCATGCCTTTTATCATTAATTCATTCATCATTTGACTTCTTCCTTATTTTTTCATTGACTATTTCTTTCTTTTTTGTCGTACATTATTTATTTATGTATATACGCACACACACAAACACGTGTGCGTGTGTGTGTCTGTATAATGTCAGATATGACTAAAGATATATCTCTAAAAGGACAGCATGGATAAAGATAAAAGGAAAACTTATCTTAACCGACGCATTTCGTCCTCTAATGGACTTTATCAAGTCAAACTTAAGAATTTCATTTTGCAACAAGTATTTATAAACGAAATTAAAAATGTTACTTTTTCAAAACTTTTAAATTTAAGAAACGCTGATAAATATTCATCAGGCTAACTGAAAAGTCTAGGTAAGTTATTGAGGATGCTAAGTGTCATAATTTAATGTCTAATAAACAGAAGCGAGTAAATGATATTTTTGTTGAAAACCTCTAATATCCTCATTATTTCACCCACAATGCTAAGAAAAAGGCATACAAAATATACAACCACAAAAAGATAACATTGTTGACAGCAATAACAATGGCAACAATACTACCTACTAACTCCTAAAAAACAAAACAAAACGATTTATCCAATTTTACTTTATCAAAATAATTCCAACTGTATTCTAAACTATTATTGATATGACCAGAACATAAAATATTCATAACAATAATAATTCTGAAGTAGGTATATATAAAATAAACTGCTACGACTGCTCCTCACAATATTTTGGGGGAAACTTGGAGAAATTAAAAAAAAAGCGTATTTAACAAAACAAGAAAAATCTTACAAAAACAATATACCAAACGCATTAGTTATGCATAGAAATAAATTCAACCAAAATTTTGATCCAAAGAATGCCACACTTATCAAAAGAGAAAGTAACTTAGACGGAAAATTATCGAGAGTGCTGCTATTAAATCTTATTAAAATATAAATCTGCGCCTCGGATTTTTCAATATCTCCATTCTTGAAAGGATTACGCCATTTCCCAAGCCAATATACATGACTCTAAAAATGTTAAAATATTAAAAGAAAACGGTTAAATTTATAACTTCCTGTTATTTAAAATAATTAATACATAAATTAATCCCAAATTAGAATAATTTAAATATTAATTATATTAAAAAAAATCAAGCAAAACATAATTTACTCACTTTCGTTTATTAAACATTAAATTGCTTCACTTAGTATATATATATATATATATATATATATATATATATATATATATATATAATAAATACAATATATATATATATATATATATATAAATGAACATTGAGGTCAACGCCTAGCAGTGACAGTCTGTTT